GTAGCGGGTGCAGGAGCGTGTGGGGCGTCTCAGTGCAGCCTGTGCGCTCATTTGAAACCCGCGGAGACTCTACGGCGCATCACAAACACACACGCTCCCTATGCACGGCTCGTCTGCAACAGCGTGTGCCCTCGTGTACCAGCGTGCATCACAGGGCAGGTTCAACTTCCTAAACATCCTACCTGTCCATCTGCCTCACGTCAGCACGCCGCCCCTCGCCTTTTCACGCTCTCGCTCCTTCCTGCGTACAGCGAACACAAGCCCCTCCCACAGTGCGGCTGATTAGAAGAGCAAGACCAAACGTGAAGCAAAAACCAGTCTAAATTTGTGTTCCAGTGTTGGCACAGAGCAGGTCTACAGCATAGAGCAGATCTACAGAACAGACCTACTGCCACATTTGGCTGAAGTTTATCTAACAAAAGTGCACAAATGCATCTGTGTTTGTCACGATGTGCATTTGGTTTGGTAAACGTGCAAAGGCTGGTAAATATCACTGCAAAACCAGAAAAGAATGTAACTCCAGTTTGGAACTTTAAAAAACAGGTTTAAAAATCTTACCTACTTCATTTTTTTTTTTTTCACAGTTTTGTGTAAAGTGCCAGAGGAAGTTCTCTTAAAGAAGGGGTTCTCAAACTGTGGGTGAGGGTCCAAAAAAGGGCCACAGAGTGTTTCAGTGCAGTTTGCTTGACTTTGTATTAGGTAGATCATTTTGACTTGATCATTTTGTAAGTAGCTCACATGCTGAAAAAATGTCAGCACCCTTGCATTAGAGCAACATCACGAGACACTAAAGAGGAAGGAGCAGAGTGCAGCCCAAACTGTCCAGGTGTGAAATAAACACAGTACATAAGAACTGAAAGTATAGTCAGTACAGAAGACCTAATGAACCTGATCAGACTTTTAAAAGATGATTTTGTCAAATTTTGTGTACAAAAGTAATTATTACTTTTATGTTTCTAAAAATAAACTGCTCCTCATTTTGATATTAACATGTTTTGGTGTTTTTATTCTGCTTTTTTGTACATAAATAATTCATTCCTAAACCTATTCCTAATAACATCACTATAACTGCACACCTCCATGAGCTTTCTTTGACTGGAGCCAAACTGGGTGTCATCACACTCCCTTAGTCCACTTCTTTTTACAGACTGTGGTCACAAATTAAATAAAGATGATGTTTTTGTGCAGCCAGTAAATATATTGTACTGCAAAAAGTACTTCATCCAACTTGAATGTTCAGCTCTGAAGTGCGTTAGTGACATGTGACAGCTCCTCGCAGCCTCAGTCCATCACAGACAGCGGCTCTGTGATGGAGTGCACTGTGACTGAGTATATGCTTACACAGGGGACAGATTAGATGACCCCTGCTGACCCCGTGAACTCTGGTGACCCCTACAGGCAGGGGAGTGTAACAGGAGCTGGGATGTCACACATGCTGCTTTCAGCTCATCTCTCACTCTCTCTCTCTCTCTCTCCTCTGATGTGGAATCTGCTGTTACTGTGCTTCTCATTTCCACACATTCTCTGTAGATGCAGAAGGTTTTGCCCAAGGATCCTCACTGGCTGCTGGTGCTTCCTCATTACACCCTGCGCTCTTCCTCTCCTCAAACTGACCTCACCAGACCTCGTGTTAAACTGACCTGACCTGAGACCTTTGACTCAGACACAAAGGACACTGAGAAGCACAGTGGAAATGTTGCTGCAGCCAAACTTGAATTTCCCTCTGGATCGATAAAGTATTTCTCTCTCTATTAAAAGCTCATAACAAGAGCCCTTGAGTTTGTATGAACCATGCGACTGACTGTCTGAGTACACAGACCTCAAACCGTGGCATGTGTTCCCCTTCAGGTGCTACGCTCATTCTTCTCTAGTTCAATTTGTTGAGTTAAATGAATCCACATTTCTTCCTTTGGGTTAGTCCTTGCTTGGAACCAGTAATGTCGACTTATTTTAAGTATGGTTTAGACCTAATTTAGTCCTGGTTTAGTTCTGGTGGTATGGAAGGCTACATGTTTTACACCAGGGGTGTTCACACTTTTTCAGCATGTGAGCTATTTACAAAATGACCAAGTCAAAATTATCTACCCAATACAAAGTCAAGCAAACTGCACTGAAACACTATGTGCCCTTTTTTGGACCCTCACCCATAGTTTGAGAACCCCTTCTTTAAGAGAACTTCCTCTGGCACTTTACACAAAACTGTGAAAAAAGTGAAGGAAGATTTTTAAACCTGTTTTTCAAGTTCCAAACTGGAGTTACATTCTTTTCTGGTTTTGCAGTGATATTTACCAGCCTTTGCACATTTACCAAACCAAACGCACATCGTGACAAACACAGATGCATTTGTGCACTTTTGTCGCTCCCCCTTCAGAGCGCTATCACAACAGAATCACTGTGCGTCCCTCTAATGAAACTACTGTGGTTTTCTGTCATGTTTTTGTAATATTTATGGAAATTTTTTGTGTTTATTGTCGTATTTATGGAGAAATCTCATACAGAGAGATCGCTAGATTACTCAAACATGCGTAGATGTCTCTAAAACCTCTTCAGACATGTTTTTTTAGACGATGGAACGTTCCAAAAATACTCCCTCTTTAAGCACAGTTCTTCATTCATCTCGACAGAAATTCTAATCTTGGTAAATGGAATTTCAGTTTTGTCCATCGTTATTGGTAATTTCTTACATTTTAAAACTTTCGTGTAGGGAGGGTGTGTCTGTCGCTGGATTGTCGGCGTGTTCGCAGTGACTCAGTTATTCAGTTGTGTCTAGAAGTGGCACATTGCACTCGCTTTTCAGTTCGTTCCTCTGTTCCGTTCCTCGTCGGCGTGGAGTGATGAGTGTGTCTGTGGGTGTGTTTCTCTGTGTGGTCGCTGTCTGCTCTGTGTGTGTTTGTGTGTTCTGTGGGTGATGCGGCTTTGTAGTTTACTGAAGTCGTGTTGGGACACCCTGAGTGGATTTGTGTATGGGGCGCTCAGGATTGTGGGGCGCAGTCGTTTTTTGATGCGGTTGGAGGCTTAAGAGCACGTCTAACAGCCCAGAAAAAAAGGGTACATGTTTTTTAGGTGGCACTTGGCATGAAATATTTGAAAACCTCATCTGTGGCGTAACTGATGACCAAAAAAAAAACAATATTCAAATGCAGAATCTTATATTTTTTGTATTTCTTATATGTACAGTTTCATAGATCAGAGCGATGACAACTGTCTGAATGATAAAAGTCCTCAAAATGGAAAACAGAAAAAAAAAAAAAAGATTATATAACTGATTATCCCTCATCAAGCTTTTCAAATTGGAACATTTAATTTTCCAAAAAGGCAGCAGGAAACAATATGAGGATTTGCCCTCCCACTGCTGAGCTCCCTGGCCTCGCTCTCCTCTGTAACACTTGGCTTTTTAATTAGGCTCTGTTTTAACAGCCACAGCTCCGTTTGGTGCATTTGCTGAGATGGGAGCACAGATTACAGAGTAATTGTGTTCTAATATTTTATGCAAACACAAGTGAGCGCTGACAGTAGACTCATTCACACCTCTATAGAATCCCACAGAGGTAATATCAGGACTGTCTCTGCTAAAGGTCACCACACACAATTCTTATTAAAAAGCAGCTCTGTTGATAACTTCTTTGATGAAGGGTCCACCACCTGCTTGTCTCCAGTAAGAGTTGGTATTACTTTGTAAGATCTAGCTCCATGGTGACAAGCAGGTGAGACTATCAGGCTAAGTTACAGATCAGATCTAAACTAAATATTACAATAGGGCCCGGTGAAGCAGAAGTAAACAGCAAGGCCAACAATTCAAGTTAATGCATCTGATATAAAAATGTATTGAACAGATACATATGTACTCTAGTTTATGAAACTGTTGACCTTTTTTCTGTACCATTTTTGGTTCTAAAGTTCCATACGTTTTAAACAGACCATGTATGAAACATGAAACAAAAATTATTTCCCAAATTTCATAGACCTGCAAATCATGTAAATAAATGGATGTATTTCATCATATCTTGTGTTATTCCATCTTTGAACTGTTGATGAAGGTACAGGATTTTTCAAAAAAATGTATTTAAAATGATAAAAATTTGCTTGGAAGGACTGACAGATAGACTGATAGGACTGATAGAAATAGTTCCCTTTCATTTTGAAGTAATATTAAAGTATTCAGAAGAAAAAAGTTGACAAATTATGTAAAATTATGCACCTTCTACTTGTTTGCACAATTTTCCCTCCGTTACTTTTCCCTCCATTACCATGACCTTTCTTAATAAAAAATCTCATGAGTCAAAAAGTAAGAGGTTTTTCAACCTAATCTTGTACCATATGGTAGAAAACTATATGAAGCAAATATTCAAACCAGTTTGTTAAGGATATGGAAGTGAGAACCAAGAGTTATCACTGTTTGGATTTATTGCCCAAAAAGTGCTGCATATTTCATTCCCTCCGTTACTGACATGAGTTTTTAAATTTTTTGTCTTGAACTTGAAAGAATATCACAGGTTTAACTTGACCCTGTTGGAGTGTAACTCTTTCCTACATTCTGATACTTTACTTATTTCAATAGTCCCTCTAGTTTCTGAATAAGAGACATTTGAATGTCAAAAATCTGCCCCTGTTTCCCTCCGTTACCACTTGACCGAACCCAATAATAGAAAGCTTTTTTTTTTTTTATTCTGGACCTTGTTTCAGACTTTGAAGTTGACATGGAAAAGGTGAATCTATTCGCTTATACATTCCTCTGCGTCCTGTTGGATCCTACATGTCATCACAGATCAGCACAGTTGCCCCTCTGTGGTGACCCTTGACCTCTGACCCCTGTGATCTATGCTCAGCTGAGGGACAGTTGGCAAGGAGGATGTCCATAACCCACACATATGGCAGCATTTGTTCTATATCTGATTGTACATTTATTTTGTCTAAAACCCCCAGTGTGTGAGCTTTATCCAATCTAGAACTCTCATTCTCATAGAACAGGGGTTACATGAAGCTCGTGTCTCTGTGTGCAGGTGGATTCTTAAAGAAAGCGGTCTGGCGCGGTACCTCCACAGGATGGCGCTACTGAGCGGGACTCTGCTGGTGTTCGGAGGAAACACTCACAATGACACGTCCCTCAGCCATGGAGCCAAGTGCTTCTCTGCAGACCTCCTCAGCTATGACCTGGGTAAGGCATGTGCACGGGTGGACTCTGGAGCCGGGTGCTGATGAAGAGGAGGAGATGATGCAGGATGTTTGTGTGATCATTAATTGAGACGTGCAGTGAAGAGAGATTTCAACCACAAGAGCCACTGGCAGTGCATGTTAAACTCCGAGCTCCTGTTGTGTGACAGAACTCCTCACTCTGTCAGGAACACTTTGTTTAAACTCAATAAGGATGGGCATGTAATCTGACTCTGTTATAAGAACTAATGTCCTGTGGAGTGTCTTTGAACAAGGCAGCGCAGGTTCACATGGATTACATCAAAACACAGAATTTACAAGTGTGTGTCTGGGCCCTGAGCCACAACCGACTGGCATCATGTGTAAACCTGACATAAGGGAGCACCCTGCCACCCACTCATGTGGACCACTTATATCCACAGTCTTGTCTTTTGGTCATTTCTCACAGCTCAGCTCTTTACCAATTTGGGCTGAATTCCAAAACCCAAGGACCTAGAAACATAATGTAATTTTGTCATAAAAGTTCTGTACAACACAGTCATGTCTGATTGACACATTTCCCTATTGAAAGCGTTTGTTCAGACTCCATTTCCCAGGTGTCTTTGCTCCTCCAAAAGCAATATTCACTTCACTGGGGAAACTGAATAGAAGTATCTCTAGAGGAAATGAGTCCAAAGTAGTTCTGACAGAGCTGCAAATCAAGTGTAAAGTAAAGTACTGACCCTCTGAGCAGTAATTTCTCATCAGTTTGTGTACAGGCTCACCTCAAGGGTGTCATGGCTGATGAGTTTATCACCTCTCTTAGATTTGGTGGTTTATGATTCCAGCTTTGACAAACAAGTGAACTGTTTAAAAGTCTGTACACAGCATTGGCCAGTATTGCAGAGGGTGAAGCTGTTGCTACTGTAAACACGACTCTGCTTCCTGTGTAGTTTCTCTGCAGCCTTCTGTGCATTCAAATCCTGTATCTGAAGTTTTGCACCACATTTAACAAATAATAATAAACACCACACTCTTTGACTTACATCTAAACCAGAAATGCAGAGCTCTGATCTTTTGAACACTTCAGAGTCTCAGAGCGAGTGTCTTTACTGTAGACTGGAGACAGCTGACGTCAGGTGAACTCAAAACATTTATCTTGTGCTTGTGCTTGGGCCTTAGTGTTTGTTTAAGACCCAAAATCATGTAGTGTGTGGCGCTGGCCTTTACTTTCAGGAAAAGTCAGTTTTAAACCAAAATCATTTTTCTTGCCTCGTCCCCTCTCAGCATCTCATACAGTAGTTCCTCTCCTCTAGCACCTGTAGCACCCCTCTCCCCTCTCCCCTCTCCCCCTCTCCCCTTCTCCTTCCTCCCCTCCCTCAGTCTTCATTTACTCAGGAAGGAAGCTGTAATTTGTTTGTGCCGGTCTCACCTTGGAGGACTGTCATGGCGGTGCGGGTGTTTATTAGCTGATTCGGGTCGACGCGGCGAGGCACTTTTCATTTGGATTTCATTCTCCTGCTCCCTCCTCCCCGTACCCCCTCCCCCCTCACCCCGTACACCTCTAATTAGATTTAGAGGGAGGGAGACGCAGTGATTAAAAAGGCTCTGCTCTCTCCCCTCTCCTCAGTCCACACACACACACACACACACACAGGCCTACAGCGGCGATGCAGACGAGATGGAGGAATTATTGCATTTGGTGATGAAGAGTTGCACACAGATTCAAACTAATGTGTGGATGTTCACAGTCAGTTTGACAGTTTGCAGTCATTCGTCTCCTGCTGATTTGACCAAGTGAGGGAGGTTTGGGCTTTGGTTAGGTCATTATTTATCCATAAATACGTTTTATTTAAAGGGAAATCAAACTTTTATCACATCAGCACAGACATCTTCCCCTCTCAAGTGTTTTTCATCAACATAATAGTTCATATTTTTGCTTTTGAGAGCTGGCTTCCACCCAAACTACAGTGCTTCTGTGTGATTGGTCTGGTTCAGTTGTTTCAGAGCAAACGCAGACACAGGAGAAGTACAATCCACAGTATTTCAAACACAACTACCTGTAATATCTACATCTATGTCTATTCCATGCCAGGCTCTAATATTGGTGTAAATCTCCTGGTTTTATACTAAACACTGAATTTTACAGCCCCACACTGTGGTTCCAGCTCAGACGCAGCTGTCAGTCACGCTGTGATCCGCTCCATGATACTCAGTTATGAGCACACAGTCTCATATCCTGAGAGGAAATGAAAATCACCCTGATGTGTGTGTGTGGGTATGTGTGTATGCGTGTGTGTGTGTGGCTGATCATATCTAAGTCTGACAGCTCTGCAGTGATCAGATCCTCTTCTGTCTTTGCACACGCTACTGCGTTTGACCACAGAGAACATTTAATGGACAATTTATGTAAACAAAGACAGAAATCAGATCTTCAAAAACATCTCAGATGATTTATTAGAATAGCCCCACTTACATCTTTTTCATCAGAGCTTTTTAGATGGAGTCAGTAGAAACACTGCACTCGATGGTGCTTTTTGAGCAGGCTCAAATGTGCTCAATGAAGACTACTCCTGTTTTGATTCCCAGACCACTTGAAGCATTCTTGTGGTCCTCTGTGATGTAGTCCAGACCAGGCTGAAGACTCAAGAGGACCTGCTTGACTGGGTTGAAAACAGCGGCAGACTTTTCATATCAGGACAGTAAAGTGTACCTGACTGCAGTCATAACACAGTTATATGAATTAGTGGTTTGGAGTGTTGTGTGTACGTTGTGTAATTGGAATCTATACGACTACTGAAAAAAAAGTAGCTTTAACCATCCAGCGAATAGGAGACAGCATTAGAACTTTGGAAGAACAGTAAGATCTTTGTGGCCAGAGCTCCTTGTCACAGCCTGATCTCATCAGATCTCCTTCTAAGCAGGACTGGGTCTGATTAGGACTTGGATGGAAGCCCACTGAGAAAACCAGGAGCCACAGTGGGGCAGCAGTGCAACAAGACACTTCACTCAGCTTGTCTTGTAAGAATGTGGTTTGTGAGTGTTTGTGGTGTTGGAGAGGATGATGGTGCAGATTGGCAGCCTCAGTCTGTCCCAGGGCAGCTGTGGCTACAATAGTATCTTACCAGCACCGAGTGTGGAGTGAATGAACAATGCACCAAACTGTAAAGTGACTTTGAGCATCTGGAAAACTGCGGTATAAGACTAAAGCAATATAAGAATGAAGAGCATTATTGTTATAAGATGAACCAAAGAAAATCCTTCAAAATCTGACCTTTGTGAAAGCTGTAGGTTGACGTGAGCTGAAAATGGCAGTTTGATTTCAGCAGAAATACAAAATACAGCTCCATGGAAGTCTTTCTCAGGTCAGATTTTAGATCCATGACAAGAAGCCGCTCCACTTATCACCTGACCTGTTCACAGCCCTGCTCACAAGGCCGAGCAGGTGTGAAGAGTTTTTGGGGTAATGCAGAGACGTCTTGTGAGTTCTCCTCAGGCTTGTGTTCAGTGAGTCTATTTCAGTGATAGCACAGATGCTCCTGAGAGCTCCTGTGAAAAGAGGTGAGAATAATTCACAGTTCTAACAAAGAGAACAGTCATTTATAGAAAGGTTTCATATGGGACAGCCGCTGTATAAGGTTTACAAAAGTCACTGCTAATAATGCACATAACACAACTGGAATAACAGTATACAAGTTAGACATGATGTATTCCAGGATACAGGAGAGGAGAATCTAACAGTCAGACCTCTGAATGAGGAAGGAGCAGTTGTTTATCCTGGTTGTGGAACACTGGACTAGCTCTTTGCTCTCTGTTGGGTGCTGAGTGCTCATGGGAGTTTGCCACAGTCCACACGTGCTTTGTGAATCTGGAGAAAGCATTCAGCCGTGTCCCTCAGTGTGTCCTGTAGGGGGCGCTGTAAGAGTAAGAGCTGTCCGGTCCCTGTATGACCAGAGCAGGAGCTGTTTTGACGTTGCCAGCGGTAAGTCAAACCTGATCCTGGTGCATGTTGGACTCCACAGGGCTGCCCTTTGTCACCGCTTCTGTTCATTGTCAGTCAGGGGCCGGAGGGGGGCCGGTCTGGGGACCACAGGCTCTTGTCTCTGCTGTTTGCAGATGAAGTTGTCCTGATGGGTTCATCCAACCAGGACCTGCAACATGCACTGGGGTGGTTTGCAGCCGAGTGTGAATCCAGCTTCTCCAAATCCAAGGCCATGGTTCTCTGGAGGTGGAGAGTCTGCAAGTGGTTTAGTCCTGGTTCAGTGAGGGAAGAATGGAGCGTGAGATTGGAGGGTGGATTTGTTGCAGGGATCTCTATACCCTCACCTATGGTCATGAGCTTTGGGTAATGACTGAAAGGACAAGATGGTGGATACTAAAGTGCTCCTTTAGAGATGTGGTGAGGAGCTCCGTCACACAGAAAAGTTACATAATGCTCCTTTTAGATGAAATCGTGCTTTATGTATTTTACTACATACAGCGCTCACAAAGTGAAACGCTAAACCTTGATCTCCCCATCTCCTTAAATCATCTCACATTGACATTTTAATCTGTTTAACCTTTAACCGCTACAGTAATAGCCTCATCGTGGTACCCTGCATTTTGACCCCTCCCACCCCTGCCCTGTCTCATCTCCTCCTCCTCCTGCTCTCCAAAACAAGCGCTCCCAATTAGCACAGCGCTAACGAGGCCATTACCAACCTGTGCCCCCTCCCCCGCAGCTCGCCCCCGCATTTAAAGGCAGTCCCATCTCATCGCGCTAAGTGACAGTTGACGCTAGCGCGCGCTCATTTGCATATTAATACGCCGGGAGCACAGCGGGGGCATCAAAATATCAGCACGTCATAAAAATCAAACCCAGTTAACATCCCGCAGAGGAGCTTTATGGAGGCGCTCGGAGACGACAAGTGCAAAGTCAATGTTTCCTCGGCCCCTGTAATGAGGCAGAGGGTTACTAAAGAATTATTTATACTGTAGTATAGTGGAGTATAAGTACACACAAATATACAAATACTACAGCAGAGTAGAGTACAAGTACACACATAAACACATATGACTGAGCACTAAAAGAGTGTGATTAAAGAAACTGTAGGTACAATTTTGAAATTTCATAAATATGTAGCTTTTATTGACACCAGCTGTAATTTAGTAGTAGCAGTTTTTGTTTATGTAACAATTTGGTGTTTTGGTCCTCAAGATGATCCAATCAGAAAGCAGAATGAGCAGCATATGAGCTGAAATCCAGTAGAACTAAAAAACCCAGCACCTGCAGCCATGAATCATGTCAGTGCTAGTGCATCCTCTGCAGCTCAGCGTGTAAATGGAATGTCTCTATATTGGGAATGAATAATAATGAATAGGCTAACTGAAACACTTTTGAATCCTGTAACAAAGTAGTTAGTTTTTTTTCCCCCCTCATCATTATGTTACTCAGATGCAATTGGATTTATTTACTTATAGGCCAAAGAAACAGTTGGAGTTGTATCCTGGAATACATCATGTCTAACTTGTTGTATACTGTTATTTGTTGTGTTATGTGCATTATTAGCAGTGACTTTTGTAAACCTGTCCCATATGTCTCTCAGTCATCTCAGTCTGTGACTGATGGTACATCCTCCACAGACCAGGACAAACAGAACTTTCATTTACATTACACTATATTATCTTACACTACAGGACGTTACACTACAGGACGTTACACTACAGGACGTTACACCACAGGACGTTACACCACAGAATGTTACACCACAGGACGTTACACTACAGGACATTACACTACACAACGTTACACTGCAGGGCGTTACACTACAGGGCGTTATGCTACAGGGTGTTAAGATACAGGGTGTTACACTGCAGGACGTTATACTACAGGACGTTACACTGCATGATGGTACACTATGGGGCATTACATGACATGACATGACATTACACTACAAGACCTTACACCATAGGACATTACACTACAGGGTGTTACACCACAGGACGTTACACTACAGGACATTACACCACACAACGTTACACTGCAGGACGTTACACTACAGGATGTTATATTGCAGGGTGTTACACTACAGGGCATTACATTACAGGACATTTTTATGTTACACTACAGGGCATTGCACCACAGGGCGTTACACTACATGATGTTACACTACATGATGTTACACTACATGATGGTACACTACATGATGGTACACTATTGGGCATTACATGACATGACGACACACTACAGGGTGTTACACTACAGAACGTTACACTACAGGATATTACATTGCATGACGTTGCATTGCATGATGTTACATTACATGATGTTACATTATATGATGCTTCAGCCCTTATAATGCAGTTTTTGTTTGTGTGCTCAGCCTGTGACCAGTGGACTGTCCTCCCCACACCAGCTCTGCCTCTGGACGTCCAGCGCTTCGGACAATCGGCTGTGGTCAGCAACAGGTCAGTGTGTTCCGCTACACAACACTTCATATTTGTATATGGATCAAATATTTCATTAATGTTATTGGGGTCTATGTTTAATTACATATGATTACACCTCTACTCCCATGTGTTCACTTAGACTGTAGTGTGTGTGATCTTCTCCACCGTCCTTCACATCTCCATATCTCCACGCTGAAGAGCTGCTCATGTTTAAAGCTCAGAAGTCTTACTTTACTCCTCTGTTCTGTTGCATTTACTTTTCTTTCACATCGTCTCCTCCTCATCTCCCCCATTCTCCCCTCCTCCTCCTCTTTCCCCCATTTTCCCCTCCTCCTCCTCTTCCTCCTGCTGTGTTTATGCTCAGGATGTAGAAGAGCCATTCACACTCACTTTGTCACTAACTTGTCAGTCTTCTAGCTCCCCTCACAGTATTAGACATTGCACTATAAATATTACAACACGCACAGTTTCTGTTGCTGAAACCTAATTCTATTGATATTCACAGCCAAAAAACAGAGTAAGGTGGTTTTCACACGTTAGTTCGCTCTTTGGACCCACCCCAGTGCACACTAGATTTAGTTCTGTTTACTTTTGGATTGGCTTTGTTCACATCCACCTGCATCATTCACCTCAAACATGAGTCCTGAGCCACGTGAGAGTCCATCAAGTGGACAGAGCTCCATGAATATGCACACGCTCACTTTGCTGGTGCTGTACACAGTGACCTTTCACCTGAGGCTAAATACAATGTGAAGGATTTACGACCTGGTGAGGGCTGAAAAAACATTTTGAGAAACATGCAGACAGACCCAGACTCACCTGCGCAGACGGACCCAGACTCACCTGCGCAGACGGACCCAGACCCAGACTCACCTGCGCAGACAGACCTATATGACCCGAGCAATTTTTTGCCCATTTCCAAACACTGTTACTTGCACCTTGGAGGTGGTTGTGCTATTTCAACAGACTGGTTTTCAAAATGAGTAACTCTTCACTGTTGCCAGCAGAGGCCTGGTGTCCACCATCTGCTTGTATCCATGGAGATGTTATTTGCTTGAAACATTGCACATTACGGCATTAAACTTGTCTTGCATTTATTTCATCATGTTTACTGCTGCAAAAGTTTTTGCAAAAGAAAAGCGATGGGTTTAATGTTATTCTCATGGTTGTTGTGATGTTTTTGGTGAGGTGACTGCTCAGCGACGCTCGTCGTCATATTTACAAAGGAGAAAACTTTAATAGATAGTAATGGGCAACTTCACTCAACTCATCAAATTCTGTCAAAATAATGCCACAAATGATTTCAAATGACACACAACAATACAGTAAATCACAACTTTAGGAAGCAATACAGTGCTCACACTGACAGGCCTGGCGGTCGTACAGCTGCATATTCAAGTGTTTTGGTTGTGTAGTATTTTCAGACCGTCTGTCTGTCTAAAGTGACCACACTGTGTGGATGTGGGAAAGTCCCTCCATACGAATGATCAGGAGGTGCACATTCATACTGTTGGCTCTAGCACTTGTATCCAATGTGGTTCTGTTTAGTTTAGCACACAAATGCAGCTTCAAGAGACAAAGTTGTAGAGGAGACTGTCACTGTTAGTGTTTCAAACCTCTGCTGCTGGAACAGAGGAATAAAAAAGTACCAGTGAATTTCCCTGGGAGGACCTGCTGTGAGGATACACAGCGGCAGCTTTACTTGGAGAGATTTGCAAAGTGTTTTCTCACTTTTGTGTCCTGCATTTGTGATAAGTCTACCTTCAGACAGGGTTACTACTCCACATTTCCCCTTCGCTGTGGCTGCCAAGCTGTGCAAAGCACCACGTGATGACTGAATACCCCAGTGCCATGGAGACGAGCAGTTGGCAGAGTTTCCACCAGAAAAGTTACATAGTGCACCTTTAAACAGTTCAACTTCTCACATCCCTGTCTTCACCTGTTTTCACTGTCTTCACCTGTCTTCACCTGTCTCTCTGTCCTCAGCTCTATGTACATCTTTGGTGGATTCTCTGGCGTCCTGCTGAGTGACGTCCTGCTCTACACTGCCCCCTCCTGTCTGGCCTTCTCTGACCCTGCCCGCTGTGCCAGGGCTGGACCGGGTGTACGCTGCCACTGGGTCGAAGGGTCGTGTATCGCCTGGCAACCACAGTCACATGACCTGAGCACCCGAGCTCCGTTCTGCCCGCCCCGACCAGGTACAACACAGAGACCATGTCCCTGATGTGTCTGATCACAGACAAAATCACATGTGGGTCATGTGTCTTTAAAAGGTGAAAAACAGACCCAGTTCATCGGAGCGGTTTGAGGAGGTTTGAGGAGGTTTGAGGCGGTTTGAGGCGGTTTGAGGCGGTTTGAGATGGTCCAAACTCATTTCTCACTTTCCTAACACATCCCCAGCATTCTAAATCCCCACAGCAGTAAGTTTATAATTGCTTTTCTCTAGTTTTAGAAACCAGAGTTTTGGATCATGGTAATGCTGACAACAACCAGCATGCTAATGCACAGTTCCTGACTTTTGGACATTAAAACACTGTCTGTACTGCGCCAATACACATTTTACTCAAAAAGATGGATCACAGCCAGTTTCACATATTTTCATATCAACTGTACTGAATAGTTTTTTCACTTCCTCAGTTCAGTAGAGATTGGCAGTTCCAGGACTGAAATGATCCAAATGATTCTTATAAAGGTGTGTGGAGTTTAAAAACATAGTGGAACACTGCTTGTGTTATGTTATGACATCACAAGTTGGAACAGAGTGTTTTCTGTTTGAGAGAAGAACTCAGTCTGAATGTGCAGGGTTTGTGTGTTAAACAAAACACAACTCCAGGTGTGTTTGTGATGAGGAAACACCAGAGATCAGAACATAGTGTCATATCAGCTCTTTAACTGGATTGGTAATATCAATCACATTTTCTCTGTACTATTCTTACTACAGAGTAAATATTATAAAAAAGAAATAATAATAAAATAAAATAATGAGTGCAGTCTAACAGTATTTAGTGAACTCTCACAGTATCTTTACATTGTATTGTAAGTGTGTGAGACGTGTCAGATGTTCTCTGCCCTCAGCCTCTCTTTCCACCAGCATCCACACACTCCCAGCTGCACGTCTGTCTCTCACGCGCCTAAAGCCTGTCTGTATTTATACTCTAATTATAATATTGGCGGTTCTCTCCAAAGCTTAAATTACATATTGACAGATCCATTTGTCAGGCTGGTTTCATAATCAGTGGAACACCTGGGACTGAGAATCGGCACTAAACTTTATTGTGTGTGGAATAATGTTTGACCCATCCTTCACCCGGTACCTCCAGGCCCCTGTCAGGAGACGTGTCCTTCAACGTCCTAGTCAAAGAGGACTTAGCTGAAGGAAGGGTGTTTTGTGTGGTTTTTGGTTCATGGGTCACAGTGAAGCACACAGACGACACCTAGACACAGGGAGAACATTCAAAAAAAATCAAATTTAACCCAAAATCTTTATTATAATTTTTTTTAATAATGGACCATGAAAGTACCAAGAACAAGAAAGAAGAGATCCCTAAAATGGTCCAGACCCTGGTTAGTCAGAGGAAGCACCCAGTCCCCCTGCTCACGTTCACACAGCAGCAGTGACTCACAGTGGGTGTAACTGGCTTTAACTCCAGCTTCTGTGTAGGGTGAATTTTTAATTAAATTAATAATAATAATAATAATAATAATAATTATTATTATTATTATTATTATTATATTTTTAATTAGACTGTTAACTGAACTGTTCTTCCTCAACAGTGTTGGTTTGCTTGTCACTCATTAATTCTTTAAAAAGTAATCCCTTACTTTACTTAGTTACTCTCTGTCACCCTCAGTGGAAAGTAACTTTATACATTACTTGTTACTTTTTGTTAGTAAACTCTGTCTAAGGCTAAATATGTCATGACTGATATTCAACAAGAACTGTGAGGGAAAGTTGAAAAGAACTTTGAAGAGAGAGTTCAAGAGGACATAAAACTATAGAGGGGTACTTGGGTGGGGTCCGCACAGTCTGCCCAGGAGATTCAGTGGGTGAGGGACAGCTCCTCGGAAGAAGTGTGATGGCCCTTGCGGAGCACACTTCCTCCGAGGCGGTGTGCCTCGACCGGCTCCGGCTTTACACTTCCTCCCACTCAGACATCAGTGTCCACTGTGCTAAATCGAAAAAAAAAAGAACTATGATTTGTTACCAGATTTTCAGTAGTAGCACATTACACAGTTTTTACCCGGAAAAAAGTAGTTATGTTACTGTGTACTTTGTTACTTTCTAACGCGTTATGTTACTGTTCCTGTTCCTGTTCATCACTTACCTTCTGCATTCACCACGATGAGCAGCTCTTACAACTTTCAGAGACCAAAGTGGAGTTTTGCTCTGGCTGCTAAATTAACAACAACTAGCATGCTAATACACACTGATTCTTGGAAAATAAAATGTTTTATAATCAGCTGCAGACAGTCAGGGACAGACTGGGACCAAAAAAACAGCCTGGGCTTTTCCCCCACAAATAGGCCTACCATGGGGGAGGAGGGGTGATAATTGATCATTAATAATGAATCATTTCAGTAAATCAATAATGAAATAATTGAAGAACACAAAGATGAATTACTTCTGATTGTTTATGAACAAAAACACCTAAATCTCTTTATTTCAAAGTGACTCAGCTTTTCTGTCTTTAACCTTTTCCCATCCTCCTTTCTCCTCATGGTTTCTGTTCTTTGACATGTGTTGAAACCAAAGAGTGACCCACTCTTCTTTATCGCCTTTTAGGCCTATGCAGTTTATGCTGGACAAATGGGTGAATTATCGTATTAGCGCCCTCTGCTGTTAGTACAGCCGACAGCCCGTACATCAGATGGCTGTTCTGGAATTTTCCAGAACACACAGATCGCCAGTCCGCCCCCACAGACAGAACACAGAGGATTTATTTTGACTTCAAGAGCTGCTTATATCTGTGCTGGGACAAGACCCATTTTACTCAAGTACATGGGGAACGTTTGGGTACAGCTCTTAAATGTTTTCCTTCATTCTACTTTGATTGTGTATTGTAAAAACATAACAAGAAATTATTTATTTAAAAAAAGAATTATACCAATTAAAAATAAAATAATTAATATTAACACTGTTGTTCAGATCGATTAATTACAAACAGTATTTTTCGGTGCTGCTGTGTCCAGCTCATTTCACTTGTGGATCAATAGTTTGTCCTGAGGCTGAATTAAAAGTGTCAGTGTTAAACTTGGCCTCAATGGAAAGCAGCAGACTTCTAATAGTGCATCTAAAGTGGAGCAGGGTTTCACAATAGAGCCGCTGCAGCTGCTGTACCCAGTGGAGGTTTGGAGAGACGGTTTGCCAATGGAGACTGGTTAATACTTTAGGTTAGGTCAGTTTATTTTCCATTATGCTTTACAGTTAAAGATCCTCTATTACACAAAGTTCACTCTTGTGAGCTTTCAGTCATGTTAAAATGATGTTACCTCCTCAAAAACAGACCTGCAGTTGTGTTTTGTTTCATTCACATGTTTGAGTAACTGACTGTTTACATCTCCAAAACTCTAAACACTCTGCTCCAAAATACTGTAGTTTCCAAGTGAACATCTCCTTTTAGGTTTAGTTCAGTAGAGATCAACAAATCCAGAGCTGAAATTATCCAAATGGTTCTAGTGAAGGTGTATGATGTTTAAAAACACAGTGGAGCACATCCTGTATTACCACATGGCATCACAAGGTGGAACAGATAATTTTTTTTTTCAATTTGAGGGAAGAACTGAGGCTAACATGTGCAGGGTGTGTGTGTTAAACGTGTGAATACAGTGATCCCTTGTTTATTGTTGGAGTTCTAAAAATACCCACGATAGGTGAAATCCGTGAAGTAGTCCACTTTATATTTTACAATTATTTTATATTATTATTTAGCACAAACTTTATACACTTTTCACACAGGACACAACACTTTTTACATCCTTCTTAAAACTTATTGCTGCTGTCGTCCTTTTGTTATTTTCCTCCTTCTTTATGTACCGAACCAAAGATTAATTTATTCTGTAATGGAGCCAACAGCGCAGAGTCCTGCACAGGTCCATTTTTGAAGACTCGCACCCGCACAGTACAGGACCACACCTGCCCGTTAACCCGAGATTATATCAAACTTTAGCACTGCCTACGCCACAGACTGAACCAAGACTAAACCAGGACTGAACTAGGACTAACCCAGGTCTAACCTAGGATTGATTCCAGGACTGAAGAGGAGGACTAAACCAGGACTGAACTAGGACTAAAACAGGGCTAAACCAGGACTAAACCAGAACTGAAAGAGGACTCGCTGTCGGGACGGGCTCAGTGATGACTGCAGGAAAATGGACCGGTGCATCTCGGGGTTCACTCTCTTATGTCCAAGATTAGTCCTGGTTTAGATCTGGTTTAGATCTGGTTTAGTCCTGGTTTAGTTCTGGTTTGGTCCTGGTGTAGTCCTGGTTTAGTTCTGGTGTAGTCCTGGTTTAGTTTCTGGTGTAGTCCTGGTTTAGTTCTGGTGTAGTCCTGGTGTAGTCCTGGTTTAGTTCTGGTGTAGTCCTGGTTTAGTTCTGGTGTAGTCCCGGCGTAGTCCTGGTGTAGTCCTGGTTTAGTTCTGGTGTAGTCCTGGTGTAGTCCTGGTTTAGTTCTGGTGTAGTCCTGGTGTAGTCCTGGTTTAGTCCTGGTTTAGTTCTGGTGTAGTCCTGGTGTAGTCCTGGTTTAGTTCCGGTGTAGTCCTGGTGTAGTCCTGGTGTAGTCCTGGTTTAGTTCTGGTGTAGTCCTGGTGTAGTCCTGGTTTAGTTCTGGTGTAGTCCTGGTGTAGTTCTGGTGTAGTCCTGGTTTAGTTCTGGTGTAGTCCTGGTGTAGTCCTGGTGTAGTCCTGGTTTAGTTCTGGTGTAGTCCTGGTGTAGTCCTGGTTTAGTTCTGGTGTAGTCCTGGTGTAGTCCTGGTTTAGTTCTGGTTTGGTCCTGGTGTAGTCCTGGTTTAGTTCTGGTAGTCTGGTCCCTGGTGTAGTCCTGGTTTAGTTCTGGTGTAGTCCTGGTGTAGTCCTGGTGTAGTCCTGGTTTAGTTCTGGTGTAGTCCTGGTGTAGTCCTGGTTTAGTTCTGGTGTAGTCCTGGTGTAGTCCTGGTTTAGTTCTGGTGTAGTCCTGGTGTAGTCCTGGAGTCCTGGTTTAGTCCTGGTGTAGTCCTGGTGTAGTCCTGGTGTAGTCCTGGTTTAGTTCTGGTGTAGTCCTGGTTTAGTTCTGGTGTAGTCCTGGTGTAGTCCTGGTTTAGTCCTGACCTGCCTGCATACCCGCCCAGAACATTAAAACTCGCCCGTTTCAGTAACTATTTGCTCGTACCTGACCCGGTGCTACAGCGTGTAACTTCTCTCTTCCTTCAGTGTGTCCAGAAGTTCAACTTTTTGTGTGATGGTTACATCTTCCTCTGTCTTTTGAGTGTGAGCGCAGGAGGTCTTTGTCAGTGCAGAACGTTTCATCGATATTGTGGGTTTTGTCGGGGAGAAAACTTACAGCACTTCAGAATCACACTGATTGAACATTTATTTAAATTTGGCAGCTGATCTCAGAGTGATTGACAATAGTCTGGACAGTCAGGACGCAGGGGGAGGAACACAATGCGCTTTCATACGCTGTAAAAAAATACAAAATTGCACTAAAAAATCAGCGAAACCGTGAAAAGTGAACGGCGATATAGCAAGAGACCACTGTAAAACACAACTCCAGTCTGTTTGTGATGAGGAAACATTAGAACTAAGGATGGGCATGATTAGTCGATTAATTGATAATTGATCATTAAGAATTTCATCGATTCATTTTTAATCGACAAACCAAATGTAGGTTGCTATGCATAGCGTAGGGCGACCAAATGTCCTTTTTTCCTGGACATGTCCGTTTTTCACGTCCTGTCCTGGCCGTCCAGGTTTTTTAAAATTTTTTTAAATAAAATGATGCAAATGTTCAGGGTTTCATTACCTTCCATTGGGCCATTGAATCGAGCGTCTCTCGTAGCTCTCTGCACTCAGAAGGAGCGAGACACAAACAGTGTCAGTCTGCAACCTGCCGAAGCACAAACGTCCATTTAACGATGACTTGTACAAGAAATTCCACGCCTTCCGTCCCAGTCGAGACAAGTGGGAAGTCGCTCAATGTCGATGACGAGTCCCCAACCCCTACACACAGTGTCCCCCTACACACAGTGTCCTGGTTTTGACAAATGGAAATACAGTCACCCTAACCTGTATTCCACTGAGTCATGTCTTTTAATTTGACAGAAGTTGAACCGCAGTTTTTGTCTTCGCTTAGTTTATGCAAATTAGACATGAGGTTTTAAGTTCAGTTTCTGTGTGCTCTAGAGTGGTTACAGTTTATATGTTGTAATGTTGAGTTTATTTATGCAGATTAGTAGTGCAGATAGTAATAATAATGATGATCATTTTAATATAAAAACGATAATGATTAATTGATCGTTAATTCTCACGACTCCCCTAATTAGAATATAGATTAAAAATAACCTAAACTGTCCCCTTTTAACTAAACTGCATGTGGAGCGCGAGCTGATCATGACACTCCTCATGATCTGCAGTCAGACCCTCCTCTGTGTTTTGGGAGTAACCCCATGTGCACTATTGGACACAGACACAGTTTGAGCAGATCCAGCCTGTTCTCTGGACTCCGCCTCCACACACTGCACGCACCTGGCACATCACTCGCCCTCACAAATACTGCACTGTCTTACATATTTCCTCATCAACAACTTCAACGAAAACAGCTGGACTTACTTAGTGTTTAGAAGCTGATGTTTTGCTACCAACCAGAAGCTTCATCAGGGCGTGTGGGTGTGACCGTGACTCCCATCAGATGTAAAGGGGCTGGTGAGGGTTTTAGTGACGTCATCAAAAAAATGATCTATCATACAGTGCCTCTTTCAAACCACTAAAGCTCTTGATCCAACAGAAGAATGTCACTGTTGTCAAAGTGTGGCCTGTCTCCTCCATGTGCAGGTACACAGCAGAATCCAGACCAGAAGATGTTTTGTGTTGAAAAACAAAAAAAAAAAACACTTTTCAGGACAACAGCGACATCTTCTGTTGAATCACGAGCCTCGTGGTTTGAGAAAGAGGTGATGGACGTCATGTATGAAAGATCTTAGGGCCCAATCCTAAACAGACACTATGGAGGGTGCCCATGTTTGTTTTTGTGACATTGAACCACCTGTAGATCCACTGGGAGTCACAGTCACCCACACAGACCCTGCTGAAGCTTCTGGTTGGGAGTGAAACGGTGCTTGTAAGAACTCCAGGTGTCCAGATGTTTTCATTAAACTTGTTGATAGAATCTTGTTCCTGGATGTCTCTAAATTTGTTTCAGTTGATAAATATTTCTTTGTGATTTATTTGTTCAGCGAGCGCAGACGAGCAGTGCCTCCTGCTGGCAGACTGTGGCAGCTGCGTGTCCAGCTCTCGGGGCTGTCAGTGGTGTGAGGAGCACCGCTGCATCTCTGCTCACACTAACTGCACTGTGGTGAGTGACACACATGTGCAAGGCCTCATACACACAGGGCCTCATCCACACAGGGCCTCATCCACACAGGGCCTCATACACACAGGGTTTCATACACACATTGTCTCATCCACATAGGGTCTCATACACACAGGACCTCATAAACAGATGGTCTCATACACACACACAGGGCATCATACACACAGGATCTCATACACACAGGGCCTTATTCACACAGGGCCTCATGCACACAGGGCCTCATACACACAGGGTTTCATACATACAGCATGTGGCACACTGGAGTAATGGAGCTTTCATGTGAGTGGGTTGTGTGTTTAATTCACATGAAGAGGTGACAGTCAGGTGGGCCTCATACACACACAGTGTGTGCAACATGATCATAAACATTATATTTTTATGTCTTACTGTCTTAATAACATGACAAACAGGACTCGTTTATTTTGAATGGTTTGTAGTTGTCCAAAGTTATGACTCACCAGGATGAGTTTATAAGTCCTTTTTAAACCAGAGTGCAGTTTTGCTGTGAAGGTAAAGTTAACAACAATTAGCCTCCTGATTCTTGAACAATAAAAGTCTGTATAATACAATACATATAGTACATGTTACTTTGACTTCAACAGGTGCTTATAGTCTCCCATCCAAGTACTGTCCAGGTCTGAGTGTCTGAGATTAGACATCAGGCGTTCTCACCGTGATAAAGTTCAATTTCAGATTCATGTTGGAAGTGCACTCTCTGACTGTCTCTGTCTCTCTGTCTGTCTCTTTGTTTCTGTCTTTGTCTCTGTCTCTCTGTCTGTCCTCGTGTCTCTGTCTCTGAGTCTGTCTCTTTGTCTCTGTCTCTCTGTCTGTCTCTTTGTCTCTGTCTCTGTCTCTCTGTCTGTCCTCGTGTCTCTGTGTATTCTGCTGTTGTAGTTGAGTGTGGAGGCGTCACTGCAGCAGACAGGGGGCGCTCTCTCCCTGGCCCCTCCCTCTTCACTGTCCGAGCAGCAGCTGAGCCTGTGGAAGCACGGAGCCCAGAGGAGGGGCCATGTGTGTACCACTCACACACACGCACACACACACACCTACACACACACACACACACATGCAGTCTTCTATACGTAACATCTGTGTAGTACAGACTCATGAATATGCAGAATCACAGATAAACATACAGATTTACTCCTTATACACACAGATTCAGAAGTGTGTGTTCTCATGCATGCACCCATACACACACACACACACGCACACACACACACTATATATGCACATTACATCTGGACAGTTGTTTTAAAGCTGTGCACTAAGATGGATTCTGGCGATATGTGTGAGGTCACAAACACAGACTCCATGGTGTGATCTTCTGGTGCGATGTTGAGGCCTCTAGTGGGACGGAAACTGGACCAATCACAGGGCAGGACTTGAGGTTTGAACGGAGCAAAAGGTGACATTGTTTTTCCCCCTTCAGCAAGAGCTGTCCTAGACTTTTTTCAGTCTATAGTCTATAGTGTTTATTCAGAGTGCTACATATGACTTATGTTTAGCTCTATTCATTTAGAAATAGAACCACAGGAACCTCATGGAGACCTGTTGATGGTGAGTATTTACACACAAGGAGGTGGAATATTAAAGCTGTAAATCAAATAAAGATTCTGGATTATCTTGGAAGAATTGGAAACAGGATGTTCTTGATTTTTGTGTCAAACATAATTATTTTTTGATTATGTGAAAGTCTATTGAGCTGACAGGAACAGAGTTATTGAAAAGCCCAGGCGCTCGGGGGAACAGGGGACTGGAGGAGGTCGAGGTGACACCTGACATGTTCTGACTGAGAGAAATACATATAAGACTAAATAGGTGTTTCATATTTTACAGGCAACAGTGGCACAGTTGGGTTGAGTTTTTGCCCACTAACCACACGGACCCGTTTCCTGAGTGTTTACTCTAGTTTCTCTAAGACACGTCAACTACACTGTGTACTTTATTAAATTTACAGGAAGAAAAATATGGACAAATAAGGGAAATAATTATTTAAAAATACAAAGTAAAAAGTAAAGTGTCTTGCCCAAGGACTCCAAAAAAAATAAATAAATAAATAAATAAAAGAAAAGAAATATATACCTGTACCTGATTGAAAAACATGAAAAACAGAACTACAGTTAAAGTGGGACAATATTTTAATTCAATCAGGACTAGTTCATTTAGTTTGCAGTGTTCCAAAGTTACTCCTCACTTACCTCATGCATTATTCACATAATTATAAGTGTCACCACTTTCAAAATGACAAAATGAACATTTAGGGATTTTTTCAAAGTTGTTCTGAGCCTTAAAGGGCCCATCTGATGTAAAATAACTCTTTTCACATTGTATCTTCTGCACATAAACAAGCACAATTTGGGTTTTGGAACATCTATTACACAATAGTTCTGAAATCTTACTGATTTCTTGGAGACAGTCACAGACCAGGAACTGGGAAAGTCCGATTATTGCTCATCCCCCCGTCCGTTCTGAGAAAACACAGGCTCCAGCCTCCAAACGTGACGTAGGCGACGAGTGAGCCGCCCTTCCTCCGCCCATCTCAGGGAGGGAGGGGGAGACAGACATGCACCCTGATAGTGGCAGGAATAAACTTTTATTCATCATGGAGATACAGCGCGTTCAGCCGCATGTGTTGGACCCGGAATCGGACGAGGACTTTGAGGAGCACGAAGCTCAAGCACCGAGTCGACATCAGCTGAACATTACTGATTGGTAAAGTTTTAATAAACACTAGTAGAGCAACTTATTATATCATGTTCACTGCAGTGTAGAACAATGAGCTTACGCTGTCACTTTTGTTTAGGTGTTCATGTGGGAATTGTCAGTCGATGTGGGGTGGAGGCGGGGTGGAGGTGGTGGAGTGGGGGAGGGGGCGGGTGTGAAGCGTTTTCTGCTACGTCAAACGTGTCATAGGTGTATCTTCTGCGTCATAGTTGTAGCACCTTTAGTTCGTTGTCACGTGGGAGGGTGGCAGAAATATGCTGCAGTTTGTTAAAAAACGCTGAATCAATTTGAAAAACACTTTGGCGACAAATACAAGGCCCACACATCACTCTTAGAAGGTAGAAAAGTCTTAGAAGTTGATTTTGCATGAGATGGGCCCTTTAAGTCTATAAGCTATGATGTTTTTACTTGAACCTGTACCATGAAGTTGTGATTTTATTTTTTTTTCACACTTTTGAATAAGTCTTTATAATTAGTCCAAAGCACAGAATACTCTGTTCCTCCTCCTCTTTAAGCAGTAGATTTCAAATTAACAGCTGCCCTTTATCTTTAGTACAGCAGAGATCAGCAATTCCAGATCTTAAATTATCTAAATGATTCTAGTGAAGGTGTGTGGAGTTTAAAATCACAGTGGGGCACATCCTGTATTACCACATAACATCACAAGGTGGAACACAGTGTTTTATGTTAGTTTTATGTCAGTCTGCAGCCTGAAGTGACCAAATCCAGCCAAATGTTTTGGTCCCCTATGCTCCTGTATCTGATCTTTTCATGACAGTCTGAACCACACAGATCCCATTTTTTTCAAACTCGACATATCTGATCTTTTGACATGCGACTTCAGTCTGAACGGTCAGGTCACATTCATCCCACTTACACGTCACAAATGTACACAAACGTTCTTCTCATCGGGCGAAAATTGTGTCTGAACTCCATGTGAGTGAAACAGTGAAGCACAGATCAATCCCTCCACTCTGTGACTCTGCATCCATATGTTTCTTTCTACTGACGTCGCTGCCACTGTCCCACAAAACACCATGACCACAAACCTCGTCCTTCTCCTTCTCAATTTCCTCCTTTAAACAAATAATCTGTTCATGTTCTGGCTCCAGTGCTACAGCAACTTTAAAATCTCCAGGTGCTAAATACTGCATCCACGTTTAGGCGACGTCTGTAAACTCTGAGCACACTCACTGTGTGTGACGTCATCATGTCCTCCAATGTTCATGCCAGACACTTTTGGTGCCTTTAAAGTTCACACTGGAGATCACACACAAGTAACATTGAATTGCAAATGTGGAGGATGTTGCAAAAAAAATTTATTTCACAAAAATCTGAATTAAGCATTAAACCCTACAGTTTGAATGTCGACTTAGTTTAACCGTACACTGCAAATGCACTGGGATCAAAACAGAACAATCTGGATTGGTCCTTCCCTCGTTATTCCTGTTGATGTTATTGTGTGTGTATTTGTGTGTGTTTTCAGTCGGTGAGGGAGTGGGCGTGGTGCCAGCACACACAGGAGCAGGACTGTCTCTCTCTGAACACCTGCAGGAGCTGCTCTCTCAGGCCTCACTGTCAGTGGGACGGGCAGCAGCAGGAGTGCCAGCCTCTACCAGGTAACACACACACACACTGACACACAGACACACATGCACACACACACACACAAACATGCACAGAACGGACATGAGAGACGTGCACAGGAAACAAAACACACACTAAAACTAACACACCAATAAATCTATATAATAACAGCAATTATACTGTCTCATTTGAATGAAATTGATGTCCAGAATTCTCCCAAATATTCTTAAGAATATAAAGTTTACTTGCCTGGAATGTTCCTCAGTATGGCATTAACTCTTAAAGACCTAAGGGCAAAAAACCAAAACAAAACCAACAAACAAACAAACAAAAAAACGAAAAGTAAATTCACACTCTTTCATACAAAACACACAAACATGTATAAACTATATAAACTATTTTTTGGACATAAAAAGTGCTTAAATTAGAGCGTGGATTTAAGTGAAATGTCCCCATGACTTTCCAGGTGTGATTCATGGAAACAGCTGGTGTCAGGTCCAGGACACAGAGACACATCACTTCTGCATTTCCATGGGCTTTATTATATTTGGATTTGGACATTTGGACTGAAATAAACCTGAAAATAAAAATAGCAAAGGGAGTGCAATAACTACACTTAGAGCGTCTTTTTCAGTTGTTACAAACACAGACGCTCAGAGCATCGACCATTTTGACTCACTACACTCTTTGGCAAAGTTTGGCCCAATCAAAATGGATGGACCGCATGAGTTTGGTGGAAAACAAGAAAGTGTCCACTTTCTTGTTTTCCCTGCGTCATCACGCAGCGTGTGACGGAGGATAATGCCGGATATGTGCTCGGAATGCTGAAGCTGTCAGCTTTTCAAGGGGAAAAAAGTGACTTTCTATCTTTTATGATTGGCAAGTTGTGTGGTTATATAAAACATGTCTGCCAGTATTGTATATGATCCCATCAGTCTAGAAAGGTTAAACTTACACTCTGTCTCCATGGAGACAAGCAGCTGACAGCACCAGGTCAAGTCAGATGTTCAGGTATTTTTGTAGCAATCTTTTGTATAAAGCATAGAGACAAGTAAGAGTCAAGTCAATCTGAAAACTTACACCTTTTATATTTGATCGGAATTCCTCCCCTGCTTCTTTAAACTGTTCAATAATGTGATAAAGCATCTGTCTGTTAGTGTCACTGAGAATAGACATGCTGCTCTTTTGTCTCTTCTCTTCCTTTTGTCCCTTAACAGACCCTTTACCTGTCCCCATATAAATGATACATACAGATTTATTTTATAAGCTGCTCTTGATATTAAAATAAGTATGCTGTCTGATAATCAGGAAGTGTGTGTTAACATGGTAGTTGTTATTAGCTTTACTGTGATGGTAAAACCACTTATAATGTTAATTAGAATACTCCGAATGCATAAGGTGAGTGAGGAAGAACTATTGCAAACTGTTTAATATAAATTAGTTCTATTTTTCATGTTTTTCTATGATAGAAAAAAAACAGATAGTGCACCTTTAAACAACCCCAGGGAGACTTGGTAGCAAAGTGAAGGAGCTTGTAGAATGTAGAAGAGTATAATGTCAAATACATCTAATAAAAGACTGCCTCCCAAGCACTTTTGCTTTATGAAATATTAACATTCCCACTAATTATTTTGGGACACTCAGGCAAACCCACTGCAGCTCAATACACTCTAAGCAGTTTGTACATCTGATTTGTAATTAGCAAACGTAGTCTTCGCCAAAACCCGGATGCCCAGGTGCAGCCGGTGTAGAATCCTCCCTCCTCACTCTCTCCCTATAGATATCCTGTCTCATCGAAGCGTCTTTTCTCTTACTCAAATACAGCGTTTTTGCCAAGAACAGCTTAGCAGAGGCGACCTGGAGGGACGGACTGCCTCTGCGCGCTCTCCTTCCATAACTCTATGTATTTATGCATATGTCCCTGGGATAAGACTTAATGCAGCTCATTTTAAAGGAGCAATACAAGAAGTTTGGCGTTTGGCACAGGTAAATGAGATTCTGTGTAACTTTCTGCAACCCTGCCGCCCTCTTCCTATTATTTACTGTATAAAGACAACCATAATGTTGTTCCTGCTGGGCTGAGGGAATGCAGTGCCGTGTACAGAGCTGTATATGTGAGATGGCTGCATTAGAGAGAGCAGTCATCCCTACACACTGTAATTGTTTGCATATGGAGATGTTGTGCTGTTTGGAGCATGCTAAGACGTGTGTGTAGAATGTGTGGTTAGCACGAGAGGCCAGAGTTAAAGGTTAAAAGGACTCTTGGGAGCTTTAAAGGTGCATGGTAGGGATGTAATGATATCCAAGTCTCACGATATGATATCATGGGAAAGCTCACGATATGGTGGGCAGTAGGGATGGGCATGATTAGTCGATTAATCGATTACGTTCATTTTAATCAACAAACTGAATGTAGGTTGCTGTGCGTAGCGTGACCAAACAGGGTCAGTACATGTGTCTCTCTGCACTCAGAAGGAGCGAGCAGACACAGACAGTCAGTCAGTCTGCAACATGCCGAAGTGCAAATGCATATTTAACGATGACTTGTACAAGAAATTCCACGCTTTCCGTTCCGGTCGGGACAAGTGGAAGGCCATGTGCACAGTGTAAAAAGCAGGAACATATGTTTCGGTGTCCAGTGGGAAAAAGTTCACCAGGACACCGAAAACAATGTCTATGACGAGTCTCCACCTCCCACCCTCCATACGGTGTCCTGGTTTTGAGAAATGCAATTACGGTCACACTAACCTGTATTCCACTGAGTCGTGTCGCAGCAGCGCACAAGAGCTGTTTTTTTTTTCCTTCACTTAGTTTATGCAAATTAGCGATGCGGTTTTAAGTTTCATTTCTGTGAGACTTGCACATTAAACACATTATAATGTCAAACGGGCTGATGTGGCTCTAGAGTATTTACTGTTTATATGTTGTAAAGTTAAATTTATTCATGCAGATTAGTAGTGCAGATAGTAAAAATAATGACGATCATTTTAATATAAAAAACATTAATGATTAATCAATAATTGATCAATAATTGATCGTTAATCCTCCCGACGATCGATTAAGAAAATTTAATCGAATGCCCATCCCTAGTGGAGAGACTCATGATATTATGATATTATGATATTATGATATTATACATAATACATACAGACTGATATTATAAAAACCTTTGACCAGTCATTTGGTACAACTTTTATTGTCTTTTTCTTATGAAATTTTTAACATCTTGAAAAGCCTTTGAAGTTGAAGTGCAAAATTCAAGTAACAACTAAACAAGTGGAATAAAACTCGATGGGTCAATGATGAAGTCCACCCATCAGTGGTAAGTGGGATCCGACTGCGCAGCCCCTCAGGACGAGTCTGGGGGTCTGGTCCTTGGTCTTGTGCCGTCCTCCGAGCACGTTGGTCAGATAGGTCCTCCATGTGCTGGTTCTAGACGGGGGCGAGTAAGACCAGTGTGCAATGGACTGGGTCCAAATGGTTCTGTGCTGTCGTCTGACGGAGAAAGCGAGAATGTGCTGTGGACTACAGGTCCAGACGGGCCTCTCCTGTCCTCCGTGCTTGAGGACTGCGGCTGGTTTCGAGCCTGAATCCAGTTTGGTTTGTTATATATTGTTCTGTCCTCCGCAGACTTGGTTCTTTCCGGGGAAAGCGAATCTCAGTCCGAGGCTCCTAACACCACTCCCCACTTCACGTCATCTGAGCCCGGCCTGAACCGGAGCTGCTCCCGCTGGTTCAGGATCTAGTCCAACTATAACATTTCTCACACTAGGCTAAAAGCAGGACATTTTTGAAGTTGATCAGTTGAATAGGTTATTGCTATTGCCATAAAATTATTTGGTTAATTAATAGCCAAAAATAACAAATGCTGATTGCTATGTGTACAGAACACCAGGACCTCTCCGATGGCCGATAACACGGCCGCAAAGGATTATGATTTATGTAGTTTACTGTGCTATGCGCCACAGGAACGGACTGAAAATTCTTATTTTTGCCTATTTAGTTTTTATTTTTGTCATCTCTACCACTGCTCTACACACATTTCCTATACTCCGCTTTCCTTTCTGTAAATAAACATTGAGTAATAATGTGTTTAATGCAGCTTTGTGCACATTTGTTGATGTTTTACAGAAACGAAACTTAAAACCACATGACTCATTTGCATAAAATATAAGCTCTGATAAACACAGCTCTTTCCTTGTGCACTGATGTGGTTCAGCTTCTGTTGGACTAAAGGACACGACTCAGTGGAATATGAGTGTTCTTTTTGTGACAGAGGATGTGCTGCTGATGGTGAGTCTGTTCTGTGTTTCCATCACGTTGGAGATGGTTCATGTTAAACTTTACACAGGTACCACGTTTAAATCCTTGCCTCCTTGTGTTGTTGTGGTGAATTACTTCGTGACTTTGCATAGACCTCGACGCAGATCCATAAATCCATAGATTGGGCTTTAGAAGCACTGCAAAAAAACGTGGCTTTGATGCTCCCAAAATCGTGTTGTCTGAGATTGCGATTTTCAGTCCAAAACGACAGATCGTTCAGCCCTAGAAGAGAGTTTTCTGTTTGAGAAGAACTCAGCCTAAATGTGCAGTGTTTGTGTGTCAAATGTGGGAATGAAACAAAACACAACTCCAGGTCTGTTTGTGATGAGGAAACTACATTAGAACCGAGATCAGAAAATAGTGTAATACAGGCTCTTTCTTCTACCTCTTCAAAAGAACCTGCTGTCGCTGGACTGCAGTAATTCAAATATTGACTCTTGTAAATGTTCTTAGGTCTCATAAAGTCCTCCATCAGGCAGCTGTCACTGAAACTAAATATGACACCCTGATACTTCTGGGCTCCAGGCTTTACACCAGCCCCTCACACATTCAATATCAAAATGATTTTATTGGTCCACAAAACTCAGTGAATCCATATTTAGTGACTTGAATGTGTTTAATTACCATCGTCTTTTGTGTTGTGTAATTATGTGTGAATGCATATATTTCACAAACAAATTTGCATATGTTTATTATTTTATTCTGAGTT